GGATCTAGCTGCTTAAGAAGGCTGCCGCGTTAAGCAGGACAAAGACAGTAGCGCAAGCAGTTGGGTCCTCACACCACTGACCGCTGCGCTTGCAGGAAAGCTGGACGCGAGGGGCGTCGACACTCCACACCCTTTGCGCTGCTGGCAGCCGCCCGAACAACCACACGTGCCTGAGCAGAGCCCAGGACACATCGATCGAGCTGCAAGGGAAATTTAAAGAGCCGGGATCGCAATTTTCACCAAAGCTGCTCAATCAAGTCCAACGGAGCAATTTTGTAAGCCAATAGAGGCTAATTGGAGAGTCCAAGGTATAAATTTATAGGAACCAATTTAGAACACGTTCGCTGGGCTAGACTGAATTGAAAAAATTCTGAAGTGCCAGCAGCAGAAGCGTGGTTAAAGAAGTTTTCAATTCAGTCCAGGACAGTCAGACAGAATTAACCCATGATCGGACTCTCCAAGCAGTGCACAGGAGAAGTGGCACGCAGAGCCATCTCTCTGGGCATGGGAGCCATTGCCCATTGCTTTTCTGAGTTCTGTTGCACCGGCCAGCTGGTCTTCACGCATGCGGGAGCACCAAAAACCGGAAGAGTAGCTGCCCGGTTTCCAATACGTGCATGTGCGCTGGCAAGCTGGTCTTCGTGCGCACATGCATGTCAGAAATCGCAAGACCAGATGATCGGCGCGCATATTGTAAGTTTACCTGAAAAAAACTATTTGTATATGTGTATAGAAAATTAAGAGAAGAAACGTCACTTAAGCAAATTTTTAAAAATAGCAATAGCAGTTAGACTTATATACCGCTTCATAGGGCTTTCAGCCCTCTCTAAGCAGTTTACAGAGTCAGCATATTGTCCCCAACAACAATCCGGGTCCTCATTTCACCCACCTCGGAAGGATGGAAGGCTGAGTCAACCCTGAGCCGGTGAGATTTGAACCGCCGAGCTGCAGAACGCAGTCAGCTGAAGTGGCCTGCAGTGCTGCACTCCTAACCACTGCGCCACCTCGGCTCT